TGAGTTCAATCCCTGGTTCCACAAAAAAAAAAAAAAAAAAAAAAAAAAAGACACTGGCACAGGCTGAGGGAGCATGAAAAACAGAAAGGAGGTTTCCCTGGAGGGTGTGCGGAAGGCAAGATGGGCCAACGTCTCAGCTTCTGGGAGTCGCAGGGCTGGGAGCGGGCAGGAACGCGGAGCCCTGAGGCTGCCTGGCCCTTCCTGTGCTTTGCCTCGGGCCCTCCCGCCCGCCTGACCACCCTCCAGCACCGCAGCAGCTCTGTTTCCTGGGCTGTCAGCGTCTAGCACCGTGCCCGTCCCGACATCCAGCAGGTGGGCCAGGATGCCCTGCCAGTTGTGTGCCCTGTGGAGGGAGGAGCGGTGAAGGGTCCACCTACCAGGCCCTTGAGGAAGCCCCCGAGGGACTGCCGCCTCTTCTCCGGCCTCCGCTGGGGCTTGTCCGCGTTGTGCAGCACGTTGGTCTCCACTGCGGCTTGCTCCACGCACGGCGCAGCCGCCTCTTTGGCCTCCTGTTTGTTGTTTTTCTTCTCCTTCTCTGCTGCTGACTTCTTGTCCTTGGCGGAGCCCTCTTTCCCCTTCTGAGCCGCTGCCACAGGCTCCGGCTCGGGCGGCGTGGTGGCCTTTGGCACGGTGGCTTTCTCCGTGGAGTTTGATGTCTACAGCAAGTTCAAGCAAAGCCCATTTTTAGTGGATGCGAGACAACTCTTAAAGCAGGGGAATAAACATATTAAAGCAGAGGCGTTGAAATGGATGGTTGCTATGCTTCTGTAAGTCATAGGTGAAATGGGGAAAAAAAAGAGGAAACAATGCAAGGCCATGCATGGAAGGGACATCTATTTATTTAATAATGGTGAACTAATTTTATGCTTTTCCAGCAGGCTGTCTTTCCCCCTTCCTTTGGTATAAGAAATTGGAATTTTCTTGGGACAGCCTCTTCCCCTGTGGATTCCGTGCATCCTAAGCAAGGGAGTTCAACCTCGCCAAAGGGGTGTGGTTGAGGCCTGCCGGATCAGACAGCCAAGCATGGCTGTGGGTGCAGCCAGTTTTCCAGGGTCACACAGGAAGAGCTGAGCCTATGGCCAAGCTTTACTGAGCTAATCAGAGGCTGGTCCCTATCCATTCGTTTTAAGGCTGCAGAAATGTACCCCTGGAGCTTCGAGAACTGACGCTGTGTCCCCGGAAAGCATTTCCCGAAAGGAAGAGAGCCCAGAGGACAGCAGAACCGGGCCACGCGGAGAGGGAGAAGGACAGCAGGGGTGGCTGTGTACGTGAGCCCTGCACCTGGCCATCCGAGAGCCTTTTTCTGGCTGAGCCAGTGTTATGGTTTGTATCCAGGTGTCCCTCAAAGCCCCATGCAGTCATGAGGTGGCCTGTGGAGTTAGTGATTAATTCATAATCGGGTGCTGGGATTATGGGTGTGAGTGCTACACTCACCCTGGGGCAGGTAATCTGCATTACAACGTAAGGAGGGGAGAGAGGCCAGCTGGCTGACCTTGCGGCAGCCTCTCCCTTTGCTCTCTGCTATTTTCCACCACCAGGAGCTGCTGCCCTCTGCCATGTGTTGCTCTGCCTTGGAGCCAGCCGAGTATGGACTGAAACCTCCACTAACTGTGAGCCAAGTAATTCTGGATGTCAGGTATTTTGTCCCAGCAACGAGAGAAGAGGAACTGAGACAGTCAGCTTCAAGACGTCCATGGCTCTTTTTTGGGGATGCCCCTTCTTTGTTCAAGGTTACATCCACTAAATTTTTTTGGTGTAAAACTGGTGTTCTGCTTCTTGAAATGGTGACAGATTAAAGAGGAACGGTTTGCACTTAGTTTTGAATGTACATGTCAAATAAGACATTCTACTGGGTTTCTACAATCCAGAGAGACAAGACTGTAAAACCCAAAATTCAAGAAGGTGCTGCATAAAGTGCACACCTACAGATCCGAAGATCAAATCCCATCAAATCTAGCTGAGCCAAATCAAATCTGTTAGGCGGTAGGAAGACTTTTATCACAATTTACTTGAATGCCTGCTAGGAACAGACAAATAGTATAAACACAAAGGAGGACCGGGGTACAAAGGATCACACAGTGGTCCTATTTCCCCAGACAGGACAGCATTTAGGTCCAGAGCAATATTTGCTGGAAAGTAGCAGTCTAAGCAATGCTCCTTTTGGCATTGGGAGAAAATTGGGGTAGGAGGGACCTGGGGGCTGAATGTCACATGCTTTGTCCAAAGGGCCCAGGGCTGCTCAGGTCACAGGTAGGAGACACCCTGTGGCCCATGAGCCTGGTACCTTTAGACCTGCTGTGTTTCCTATAAGACCTTAAAATTAAAGAAAGAAAGAAGAAAAGCATGTCAGCTCTGAAATATTGACTTTAAAAACTCCAAAGCCCTGGTTCCACAAAATACGTGGAGCATAGTAACCCTAGGGGCATATCTGAGCCGCTGAACATGTAGTGACAGCATTTGGATTATGGAGGGAGGCACTGTCCCCAAACACCGACCACCGAGTAGTCGTCTCTCACTGGTGAATGCAGCGCAGCCCTTAGAAAGGACGGAAGAGAGAAACAGAGACGCCTCCAGGCCTGTAGGGGGCCACAGGGCGCTGCTCCCCCGGGGGAGAGAAGCACCCACATCGCTGAAGCAGCCGCCGCACCAGTGCGTCTGGGGGAGCAGCTGCTAGCGCCGCCGCAGAGGCCAGGACGCAGACGCGCGAGTGCCGCGGACGGACGCCCGCTCTGCAGCTCGAGCCCCACCACGAGCTCCTCAGAAGCCCAGAGGCCTGCGGTCCCGTCCTCCTCAGGCCTCTCCCTGTCCTCAGCATACAGTGACTGGAATCTGAGAGGCCTGGTTTGCTCCCCGGCTGTGTGACCTGGGGACGCTGCTCAGTGTCTCAGCTTTCTCCTGTGAGCACTCGTTACAGGAATCTGCCACTCTGCAGTGAGATGCCAGGCTCCGGGGAGACACTTGCTTTGCCTTGTCCTGGAGGGAGGCAACTCCAGGGCATGGAAGTGACACTTTATCGGTCAGGAACGTTCCCTGGATGAGGGGTGAGCTGGTCACGCTGGGTTACTTAAGATCCTTACCATTAGCAGTGGACCCTCTTTCTAAGATGCTGTGTGGTTCTTAACGCCTTGTGCAATGGGACATGGGCGAACCACTGTCCAGTGTGACAGATGAGCCCCGTGCCCCTCCTGTCGCTGCCCCTCTGCTCCCTTCACTGAGCTACAGGGTCTCTCTTCCTTCTGTATCTCTGGCTTCATCGACTTTATTTTTACTTTTACTTTTACTTTTTGGCATTGGGAATTGATCCCGGGGCTTTGGCACTGACCTGTGCACCCCCAGTCTTTTCCGTAATTTTTAATATTTTTGGAGACAAGATCTTGCTAAGTCACTAAGCTGCCTAGGCTGGGCTCACGCTCGGGGTGGCGGTGTGTGCGTCTGCGCACCAAGGCTTTGGTTTCGAGACATTGCGCCTCCAGTCAACTCCAGCACCGCCTCCTGGGCCACACAGGCCTAGGGCTGGGGTCTGAGGAAGGCCCCCACTCCTGCAGCAGCCCCGCCTTGTCTGTTTCTCCAAGGTGATCATCTCAGGGCTTTCTCTGCTCGCTTGATGGCGTAGCTCGGGGACAGGGCTCCGTGCTCTCACTGCTGTGCTCCCAGTGCCCGGGGAAGAGTGGCCACAGAGCAGGCCCCTGGCATGGGGAGTTGAGGGAGGGATGGCCAGGCCTCCCCTGCCACCTGCTTCCTGGTCTTCCCTCCTAGACTGTGGGGGTGGGAGGGGAGAGGCCCAAAGAGCCAACAGCTTTCCCTGCAGCTCTGCAGGAGGATGTCCCCTCTGTCAGGCTTCCACGTGCTTGGGAGTGACTTGGAAACACACTTCAGGAGACCAGGGCTGGCCTCCTCCTTGCAGGGCTGCTTTGTCACTGAGTGCAACAGCTACTTGGGGGCTGACTCTGCCTCAGACTTTCAACAATCGAGTCACCCAGGTACCTTCTCCCAGAACCTCTGAGAACCCAGCAGTGCTGGATCCAAGTGGCAGGGACAAGACCACAGGCACTTTCCACTTGATTGAGACTCTAGAGGCCGCCAAGACCAGGAGTGCTTGGAGCTCCCTGTCCTAGAAACACCAGCTCAGCCTTTTATAGCTCTAAGACAGAAAATCCCAAGGGCACCCAGAGTGTCTACTCCCGATACCAAGTCAAACCAAGTATTTGTCGTCTCTCTGTGAAGACACACATCTGCCCAAGGTGGCATTCAAAGCCCTTGGGACAGAGTTCCTGCAGGGGGACGGGGCTCTCGGACGGCTCTCAAGCTACCTCCAGGTGAGTGGAAGGAACATGAGGGTTCCAGCTCATCCAGATCTTCAGATGTCATTCCAAAGTTTAGAAACGCCACAATCATGAGTGAGTTGTTTCATCTAGGGTTGCAGATAAAGTACAAGGTCAACTTCTCCTGTTTTTAAGGTTGTAACCTTTGGAAGGGGTTTTGGTGCTGGGATGGAGCGCAGAGCCTCATGCAGATTAAGCAAGGGCTCTGCTGGTGAGCTACACACTGCCCTGAAAATTCTGCTTCCACGGTGGGCTGGGGTATGGCTCCGGGGGTCAGGCACAGGTGCAAGTTAAAAAAGAAAACACGTTGAAAGCAGGAAAAACCATAGAGAGCATATGCTGATTGCTATGGAAATAGAAATATTGTATAGCACTGGAAAAGTTGTTGCCATGCATGGGTATGTGCTGGTGTGGTTGTGTGTGTGTATGTGTGTGTGTAAGAGAGAGACAGCATAAGGAAGACAATGAGAGAGAGAGAGAGAGAGAGAGAGAGAGAGAGAGAGAGAGAGAGGAGAGAAGAGAGAGATAGCATGACCAGGATTGTGTTCCTTCAATTGGTTTGTTGAAGCCCTAACCAGCAAAGTGGTTGTATTTGGAATAAAGAAGGAATTAAAATTAAACGAGGTTCTAAGGGTGAGACTCTGATCCCCAAGGCCAATCATTATTAAGAAGAAACAGGAAAGCCTCTGCGCTAAGTGCCCACATTCCAGCCCTCCTCTCTCCCCACCCCCTCCTGTCTCCCTCCCGCTGCCATAGGAGGGCAGAGCAGTAGGCAGCCATGTGCAAGCCAGGAAGAGCCCTCAGCAGGGACAGTGCGCTGTGGGCACTGTCACCTCGGCCTTCCCAGCCCCCGACCAGTGCATCTCTGCTGCCCAGGCCGGCCCGGCATGGTGTTTTGTCACAGCAGCCTGGGCTGAGTGGTACAGCATCTCCCCTATCGATCGAGCCCTCTGCTCTGCTCTGGAACGGCCTGAGTGTGACGCACCGACTCATCTATGTGCCACTCCCTCGCATGGACGCGGAAACCCAGGGCCTGTGACTGGCCTGAAGTCACAACCCTAAAGTAATGGCTGAGTCAGGGGCCCAGGCTGTCTGCATCCCAGGAACGTCTCTGCACTGTTGAAATTAATGGAAGAACATTTGATGGCTTTTTGGGGACAAGGAATATCAGTTTAAAAAGAGTGCCCATTGTAAGGCATTGTGCAGGATCCCACTGAAAGGAACACGTACAGTTATAAAACCGTCGCAGCCTTATTTGTTTAGGATGCCGAGGCCGTGCAAGTGAACCCCGGGACCGCTGTGTCCTCCACTCAACTGTCCTAGAAAGAGCTCCTACTGTGCACCAGGCACCGTGTGCACGAAGTCGGGTAAGGCTGTCTGCTAAGCCAGGGTGGGAAGCGGTGGCGAGAGGCGCCTGCAGACAGTGGGTTGTTGCTACTTATGACAAGTTCCATGAAGCAAAAATGAGAGCAAGAGGTAGCGGTGACTGGTGGATATGGACATCTCTTTAGGGCACAGAGAAGGAGTGCTGGGCACGCAGAAGGGGGAGAAGCTCGTGCCGAGGGGCTGAGCTCTGAGGTGCTCGTGTGGGGGCTGCAGAGTCCGCCCGAGCCCCGCACACTGTGCACGCTGGAGCTGCAGATGCCCAGAGCGGGCTGCAGCTAAGGACTGCGTCAGGAAGGAGGGCAGGAAGGAGAGAGATCCGCCGGCCAGACCCTCCGCCGGCCCGCGTTCCAGGTCACTTACTTGGTTGCTGGAGTCTTTCCCTTTTACTTCTTCCGAGCGGGTGATCCCTCCATTCCCTTTCACTGACTAAAATAACAAAGAGATAAGGGCTCGTGAGCTACCGCAGGCACAGGGAGTCCGGAGACTGCAAGGGAATCTTGAGATTCACACTCGAGACAAACAACAGAGCGGCTGGAAACCTGTTACTGCTCCTGAGACATCCAGATGCCCAGACGCGTGGCCACATCTGGCGAAATTCAGACGCTGGCCTTCGGAAAGAACAGCAGCAAGCGCCTGAAACATGAGTTTAAGCAGTTCTGGATTTTGAAAATACTGGAATCAGAAGCACACGGGGCTAAACCAACACCCGAGTGGAGCCGACTGTCCTCTCGGGGGCGCTGTCAGGAGGGAGGTGGTTTGCTATATTTTTCCCTAGCAGGGAGCTGAAGACAGATTGGCGCTCTGCTTCCCCTTCTTTACTGAGCCCTCTGTCGGGCGGTGTCCGGCAGGGCCGCATGGGATTGAATTCCCAGCTTTTGTTCTTTACATCCACCCTGAGCTAGTGATTCTGAAAAAGCGGCCTCAGCCTCACCTGGAGACTTGCTAGAAAAGCAGATGTGGACGGTCACTCACTCCAGGTTTACTGGGTCAGAAAGTCTGGGGCTGGGTCTCAGCAATTTTTTTTTTTTTTAATTTAGTAAAGGGTCTTCAGGGTCTCACTATGTAGATTGGACTCCTAGTGACGCTTCAGTTTTCAGTCCCCCAAGTACTGGGATTATAAGAATGTGCCACCACGCCCAGTCTCATTTGCTGTCTCAGCATGCTGCAGGGGTGTGGCAGGCCAGGAATTGAACCCTGCTCCCTAAGTCTGCCTTCAATCTGCTGAGCTATCTGGCTGACCCAGCAATCTGTTTTGTTTTTGTTTTTGATCGAGGATTACACTCAGGACACATCCTCAGTCCTTTCATTAAAAAAAAAAAAAATTTTTTTATCAGGTTCTCACTAAGTCACTAAATCGGCCAGACTGGGCTCAACTGGCATTCAGTTGGCAACCCTCCTGCCTCAGCCTCCCAAGGTGCTGGAATCACAGGCCTGCGGCACGACTGTGCCCCACTAGCCATGTTTTAACGAGCCTCTTGCATGATTCTGAGAAATGCTGGACTGTGAACTCTCTGCTGTAAGCGAACTGCGACAGCCGAAGTCAGACGAGTCCCGGGACTGCAGTTTTCACTGTGCATTTAGTAATGCCTGCTCCTCATGCATGACCAGTCTGATGTGTTGCTTAGCTCTTCAGCGAGGCTGCTCTAGGTCCCATCCCACAGCATCTCCCGGATGGTCGGCCGTCACCTTGGCTGCTCTTTCAGCAGACCGAGCAAATCCCCAGCACCGAAGGTGCCCAACCCCATTTGCATGGAAGAGCGCTATGTGCTCAGCTATCTGAACATGGTGGCATCTTAGTAGACACGAGTAAACCTATTATTTATGAAGGCTAAGCTCATGGAGTACTTCCCAAGTGCCAGGCCCTGTTGCTAAACGACATAATAATCTACATGATTATTCATCATGTCAAAACCCTAAGAAAACAGGCTGATTATTTTCCTGGTTGATTATTTCCCTTTAAAAAGCTGGAAGCCCAGAGGCCCCACCTTGGATCATGGGACAGGAGTGCAGGGAGCCAGGGTCCAGGGAGCGGGAGCCACACCACCAGCAGACCGTCTCCAGCAGATGGTTACAGAGCGTCTGCTGTGAGGTTATGAAATGGTCAAAGCCTTTGGAGAAGGTGGACAAACCTCAGATGAGATTGCTCGCGAGGCCTCCTCACCCTCAAGGGCAGCTGTTCTCCAAATACTGCTTGGTGCTGTGCTCCAGACCAGAGCCTTTCCTAGGACCATCAGTGGCCCAGTGGAGTAGGGAATCCCGTCTTTCCTTACCCCAAGAGCAGCACTGGGAGCTTGGTGTGGGTAGAACCTTAGTCCTCTGTGCTTCTTGGTTGGTTAGGAAAGGCGGGAGTGGTCTCTACTAGTTCTGGATCCTTTTTGTAGAGACAGCCTCACTGGAGTCCACTCGGGTTTTCACCTCAAAGGCAGATAAGGAACAACTCATCCTCCACATCAAATTTAGGCCACTAACATGGAAAGTGGTTTTTCTTTCCTTCAGATCTAGGCAGCTTGAGAAAGTTTAGTAAGAGACGCTGACCTCCTAGGTCAGAGCTCTGTGAGGTTTTGACCCTCAGGGATGGCCTTTAGCTCTGGGCTTTTGGCTGCATCCTAAGCACCCACTTTCTACGCAAACACACTCCTGAGCCTTCTGCAGAACAGGACTTTGGCCTGCATGAGCTGACCTGTAGGGAATCCTGAGTGGCAAAACCCCCAAACGAACAGATTAGGTTTTTAAGCAAAACCTGAACCAACACCACGAGTCTCGCGTGGCCCTCCCTCACCCCAGGAAACACAGGACTTTCTCCTGTACCCTCTTAGAGAAAGGGATTTTTGAGCTTCTTTTTTGCTGTTCCAGCTTGGTATTCGCTAGCACTTGGCTGGCTTAAGGTTCTAATTTGCTTTCTTTCCTTCTCTTTCTTTGGTAGCTCTTGGAGGAGAATTTGGGTTGAATTTAAATTATGCTATTTTGGCAGCATGAGAATGGACCTTCAGCTGTCAGAAGAGCGCTGCGAATCAAGCTGTTGAAATAAGACAGCGCAGAGGACCCCACGGGCTCCGGGATTTTCCTCTGCTGTTCCCCATGAGGCGCAGAAGCACCGGGTCAGCAAAGCTGACCACTGAGTTCTGAGGAAGGGTTTTGCCACATTCCCTCTGCCACAGTCACTTCGTCACAGCAGCCTCTCCCGCCCTCCTCCCCTGCTGTCCCCCTCTCTCTATCTCCCTTCTTTTCTTTTCCTGCTGAGCCCTCTTTCGAAGCAACTCAAGAGCGACTACACTGAGCCTTATTATTTGAGGGCTCATCACGGCAAAGCCTTCTTCTTACTCACTGTCAAAAATAAGAAAGCTACAGCTTTCGGGAGACCAAAGTGCTTTCACATTCTCTTCAGGACTTCGAAGGACAGTCTGAGGATTCTTGAGTAATTTCAGAGATTTTCCAGTGTGACACTGAGCAGCTGTCTTCCCGAGTTATTTTATGCCTGAGAATCAAACAAAACATCTCAGGGTGTTCAGCTGGCAGTTCTGACATGGATCCCACCGGTAGCATCTGAGCCTCGCACATTAATGAAGTCATTTATTCATTTCCTGGGGCCATGCGTTACAACAGCCTGATAACTCTGAGGACCGTATGAAATATTTCCAGTAGATATTACTTAGATATTAAAAACTCCAACAAACATTTTGGTGGCCAGTTCACATATCTTTGAAAGGAACTTAAGTGTATTTTGGTGGTAATCCAATTCAACCAAAACAGAAGAGCAGTTGGGATGAAATTTTGATACAGTGTGAGACTGTCATCAATATCCTTCCTAGATCCCCAGATCTAGGGAACTGGACTTGCTGGAAATTTTGAGGTGCTGTACAGGTTGAAAGTCCAAGCTTTGCATTTTGCCACAGTGTACCCATGAAATGGAACGGGAGTAATTAGGTGAATTGCCCAGCTAAGGTAATTTCTCTCTCTCTCTCTCTCTCTCTCTCTCTCTCTCTCTCTCTCTCTCTCTCTCTCTCCCATTCCTTCCTTCCTTTCTTTCACAGTACCGGGGATTGAACTCAGGACCTTGTACTTGCCATGCAGGCACTTATTCTACTGAGCTATCTTCCTGGCCCATAAATTTCATTTAATGACAAATATATTCAGGAAACATATGCCCAAGTTCTATGTAAGTTAAGTATTAATCTTCTTGTCTCTGCCTGGTCGTAATTTTAGATGAAGAGAGCTCAACACATAAAAATGATATTCCCACAGAGCATCTTACTTAAAGAGTTGCAGAGATGGAGCCCACAGTTGTCCTGTGTAGTGGTTCATGCATCCTGTCAACTCAAAAAGTTTAAAAGCTTAACTAAGAAACTCAGCGGGTCTCTATCTGAGGGTGTAGAGGACATGCCCTATGGAGACCATTTACACTCTAGGATGTTGTCGTGGTTGATTTATTGTGTCAACTTGAAAAGTTTAGAAGCTTAACTAAGCCACTTACCAGGGGCCCTGGGCGCTCACTTTGCCAACATCCTGAGCCCGTGCAGGAGGACAGCTCAGAGGTGGAGTGAGTGCGGCACCCACCCTAGGGCGGGTCGCCTGTGTACGCTCTAAGGGAGGGAAAGAGGCGTGCTTGCCTCCTTTTCGCTCTTGTTGCTTTTGCATCTTCCACTGCCATGAACTGCTGTCCTCTGCCCTGTGCCACTTTGCCTTCGAACCAGCTGATTACAGACTGAAACCTCCACAAAGTTGGAGCTAAATGAACCTTCCCTCCTTTAACTTTGGGCCCTGGGTATTTTGTCACAGCAACGACAGAGAAGTAACTAACACCTCCTGCCTCCAGTGATCCTCAAAGAAGGCAAGCAGCAGAGGCTTAGGATGCAGCGGTAATGTGGGAGTAAAGGCGAGCTGTAGAAACAGAAATGAATACAAAACACACGCCTGCCTGAGCTCCGGCTTTGCAGCTGGCATCTGGAGGCAGGCCGCACATTGCTTAAACCTGCTTGAGCCTCCCAGGCCTGGTCCTCACACGGAGGGTGCGAGTTTCATGGGGTTTCTGCATGAATGGATGAGAGTATGCACATGTACTTAGCCCTGCCCACCACACCCCAAGCACCCAGGGCACCCGCAGGGGCCGTGAAGGGGACTGTCAGCAAGGCCCAGTGACTGCAGTGCCCTGGTAAGGGAAGGAGTGGGGGCAAGCTCTTGGCCGAGGTGGGAGCTGCCCACATAAACGGCTTTTTCATAAATCCAAATAAATTCCACTTTTAGAAACCTTAAAGGGCAAATCAGCATTAATATTTTCATGCCCAGGGAAAAAAGTTGAGATCAAGAACTTTGGCTGGAAGACTGCTGATTTTGTTTAATCATTACCATTCCAAATTACCTTCTTTTCCCCTCCAGGTTTTAAATTTCACAGGTTTTTATTAAACTTATTTGATTCAACGTAGTCAGCAAAACCCTCTCTGATGGGGCTGGAGAGATGGCTCAGTGGTCTAAAGCACCTACTTGAAACAAGCTTGGTAAAGCACAGGGACCGCGGTTCGATCCCCAGCACCACATGCCAGCCAGACCCGCCCCCTGGTGGGCTGAGCTGGCCACACACACACACACAATAAATAAATGTAATAAATAAATAAATATTTAAAAAAAAAAAAAAAACCCTCTCTGAGTTCTTGGCTGTCTCTTCACTGGGGCCTTTCATGGTTCCCGAATTAAGCTCACAGTCTTTCACGAAACCCAATAATGTGTCCCCACCAAGCTTTTCTTGTAAAACTATTAGTGCAGAGAAAAAGCCAAGCAGAGGATTAAACAGAATAGTAATGTGAAAAATCTGACTTTTTTTTTTTTGGTGGAACCAAGGATTGAACTCAGGCCCTTGCGCTTGCCAGGGAAGCGCTTATTCCACTGAGCCATCTCCCCGGCCCCTGAAAAACCAATCTGGAGGAGGAATGCATTTTTCAAGTACAAGGTGTTATTATACTGACAAATTATAACTTTGAAATGCATATATTTCTACCTACCACCTGCGTGATTTCAAATCTGACTGCCTGGACTATAGACACAGGAACACAGTGTTTGGCCTACTTGTTTTATAAAAATATGCCAGCACTTCAAATACTTGGTTTCTTCACATATAGCTGAATGAATATATCTGAGAATTGTGTCCTGTTCATGGTGTGACGTATGTCTTAGATGTTCCTTACAATTACTCTGGAATCCTGTAGAAACTTGTAGAGCATTTGCAAAGAGATACATCCGCATAGATTAAATGCAGTGCTAGACTTTCGGAGGATTCTGTTTTCTTTGACTCGAAATATGATTATTGTGGGTCCTCAAAAGATACTCTTTTTATTTTTATCTTAAGTTAACATCTGGAAAGAAAATGATCTCTGGAGAAATGGATCAGGCAAAGCATTTTTTTTTTTTTTAAACCCCTGAGCTGAGAGTCTCTTTGCCATGGAATACTAAACTGTGTTACCTAGAAAAAAACCTAAGGAGAGACAGGCTAGAAAATAAATGATGGGATGAGTGAAGAAATTGAATATAAAACAGAGGTCTTACAGTGGAGTTTTCTTTTCTATTAATAGTTTTTAAAAGCATATTTTGGGGGCTGGTGAGATGGCTCAGTGGTCTAAAGCACCTACTTAGAACAAGCTAAGCTAAGCTAAGCTAAGCAAAGAGCAGGGACCGTGGTTCAATCCCCCAGCACCACATGCCAGCCAGCCCTGCCCCCTGATGGGCTGAGCTGGCCACACACACACAAAATAAATAAATAAATAAACAAATGAATAGATAAAATTAAAAAAAGCATATTTTGCTAACATCTAAAATTAGTTTAAAGGACCAGCCAAATAGCTCAGCATATTAAAGTACCTGCAAGCAAGCACAGGGGCCAGGGTTCGATCCCTGGGCCTGCCGTGCCGGCCCTGCCCCCGGGGCATGCTGAGATGGCAGTTGTGACTGGGTGTGGTGGCATGCCTGTAACGCCAGCTCTTGGGAGGCTGGAAGTAGGCAGATCGCTACGAGTCTGATCTAGTAGTGAGACCCTGAACACCTTGTAGACCCTTCCCTAAGATACAAATAAATAATAAAATAAAATAAAATTAGTTCAAAACAGTCCCTTAGTTGGCCCAAGCCCCCTCTCTTCCCCAAGCCCTTAGTGGTCAGTCAGAGGCTGCCTCTGTTTTTAAGAGGCGCCCCGTAGAGCCAGAACTCTTAAGTCAACTTGGAAGCAATGACCATGTCACTGAGAAGCGTTTCCTGAAAATAACTGCTGGCACGACTTTTAGGACCGTACCCCATGGGGGTGTTAATGCCCAGGCTGAAAGGGGGTTTCTGAGGCTCTCCACGCAGGTGAGGAAGGTGAGTGAGATCATGCACGTGGGATGTTTCCGGCGCACTCACTGAACACAGTGGGAGTTAGACAGTAAGCACCAGGTTTCTTCCTTGGGTTTTACTGCGGCTGAGGACAGAGAGCGCACCTGTTCACGCCCCTGTTGCAGCCCGGGAGCCTGGAGTATAGTGGGCACTCAGTGATTCTGTGTTGAACAACCGAATGGATAAAATGCAAAACACTAAAACCAAGAGAAACGTCCGTAGCGTAGTGTCCATCTGTGTATCAAAGGATCGGGCATGAAGGGTGCAGTAGCTCTGCGTAGAGGCTGCGCACCCCACACCGGAGGGAGGGCTCGGAGGGTAAGCGGGTGGGTGGGGCTGGCGGGGCGGGGGCTCCCGGGCAGCTGGCACACTGGGAACCCCACGCGTTTTGTCTGCGTGAAGTAATCATGATGTTGGTATTATGTTTGAAGGAACAGAGAACATAGACAATGTTTAGGATATCTGGAATGTTAGAGGACATCCTGACAGTCACAGGTGCTTTGGGGCAGAGTTTAAACATTAAAAAGAAAAAACAATGGTCATGTTCTCAGGAGCAGTAGGTCCTAGAGCCATGGGCACAATGAGACACGTCTCTCTGATCCCTGAGGATTTCTTGGGAAGAGTGAGCTCACTTTCCTTTATCCTACGGAAGACTTTTTTTTTTTTTTTTTTTTTTTTTTTTTTTTTTTTTTTTTTTTTTTGAGGCAGGGGCTTTTTTTTTTTTTTTTTTTTTTTTTTTTTTTGAGGCAGGGGCTCACTATGTAGCTCAGGGCGGCACTGAATTCACTATGTAGAACAGGCCAGTCTTGAGATCACCAGGATCCTCCTGCCTCAGCCTCCCAAGTGCTGGCATTACAGTTGTGAGCCGCCACACCTGGCCAGAGGACACTTCTTGTGTATTTTTTTTTTTTTTTAACCTCAACAGTTCAGACTTATTCAATTTGTGTTGCTAGCAAGCGGCAGCTCCGGGGGATCAACTTAAATGTTGTAGAACTTGATCCAAACTTTAGAATTTATTGGGGACAGATGCTGTGAGTGGCTTAGAGGTCTTTGCATATTTTATTGGGAGCGCCTTGTATTTTCCTGTCATTTAAGTTAAGTGAGCTACACATGGGTTACTTGGAAGACTCGCTCCACTTGCCCTCCACCCTCATATTGCTCAACACTGTACAAAAGAGGAAAGCTGACCCCCTCAGTATGCCAATGAACTACTGGAGGATCCCTTCCATTGCTGACACGAGTGGCCAGAAAAAGGCTCCGGGCTCTTCTCTCCCTGCTCCCCGCATTGTGAAAAAATTGGTTTAAAAAGCGCCAAATGGCACAGCCGAAGGCCGTCAACACAGATGAGGGCTCAGCCATTCAGAGCTCCCACTGCCTTCTTAAAATACTTTTACTCCGTGTGAATCTAACAGGAGAAGAAAATAATTCCTGCCAACAATTTCTAACATAATTATTTTTAAAACATCTCAACTCTTACTGGCAAGGGTTTTGTTTTGTTTTGTGGACTAAAAAGAACTGTTTTAACAGGCTGATCTTGTAAAATTAAAGAATGGCTCTCTCCAAGGATTAAACTTCCCACTACTCCTAAATATAAAGGCATAGAATAATGAAATTCTTGTTTTTCATTAAAAGAGAATTAAATGAGGGGCCTGTTGGCTGAGTTTTTATTTTTGGTCACCCAACTGATTTAGGTTTTGCTGCACTGTGTTATCTAAGTTCCTGGTTATGTAAATCTTTAATGTACATCACGCTTTGTAGGTATCAGAAGATTCCCATCCACATTCTTTCCCCATTCTACAAATCAAAGATCTGAAACGCTCACTAAGTTGTCTATACATTCACTATAAGAACATTACGTTAGCATGTCCTTGTTTGGATGCTCGATGCCAGCTTCATCTAATTAGTCATTGCTCATCTGACACCTTCAGAATTTCTGCCACCTCAGTCAACAGTTTGGGCCATAAGATGGCTTATGTTCTTTATGTAAATACAAGTATTTTCAAAGGAAAGTTTCTACCATTCTCATACTGGGAAAAACAGCATCCTTTGCCACCAACGGAAGGAAACTTTAAACTCAACTAAAAGCAAAGAACATGAACTATTCCTTAGTGGTAGGGGACACTCTTGACTGCTGGAACTTAGGACCCAAGGCCGGCTCTTTCTTTTATTAAAAAAGAGAGCTACCCGGGGTTAAAGAAGAGTACAAGTCATCAGCTGAGACTCCGCTACGGCTGCATCGCCGGGAGGGAAGGCGTTTCTCTGAGCACAATTCACGTCCCTTTCTGTCTTACATATTCCACCTAAAATCACATCTCATCCCGCCCGTGGCACCATCTTCATTCTTGGAAGCTGGGCTAGCTGTGTCCCTTCCCCATACTAGAAGAAAGTGGCTTACTACTTGTCTGAAGAACGCCATCAGGGAGGTCCGCCGGGGCTCGCCTTCTGCTCTTTTGCGTCTTCCTTCTGCAGGTTCGGGTGGGGCCTCTCTTTCTCCACTGAGCTCCCCTGTGGGCAGGGTTGACTCTACCTCCTCAGACTGTACAGGCTCTACCGGTGATTCACACACCACCTGGATTGTTTTGCCAGGTATTGAAAGAATGAAAACCAAAAATAATAACAACAAAAAACCCCTAGAACCCCAAATCCATCCCCCAGAATGTGTTTTAGAAAGGTAGCCCTGGCTGCCCCCGGTCCACGAGATAGATGCAGGACAGCACTGGAAGCTGCAGCAGAAGCTAGAAAATTGATCAAATGTGTGTAGGTGGCACTGGGCCTCAAGGCCTAAAGCAAACAAGCTACCTCAGTCCTGAGAGCAACATCCTGTGGGGTTCAGGTCAGCTATTAGTTGCTAGGCAACCCTGCATCAGGTGTTACTAACTGCAAAAGTATAAATAAACAGTAGGTTTTGTTGTGTGTTGAGTTAGTCTCGCCTATCAGGCAGAGCAGCAACCACCTAGCCCAGCTTTTATCTGCTTGTCTATCTTTTCTCACTCCTGCTGCCATTTTTCTCCAGGTAGAACTGATCGCAGGGAGACTGATGGATCCCTACAGGACTGACTCTTAGGATTGCTTCTGCACAGCTACATCTTGGTGTACCAACACTCCTATGGGATTGTCAGCTCCAAGAGGCCGGTTTCTGAACAGTGGACAGACAGACTGATGGGGAAATGGCAGACTCCTTCTCCCTGAAGGTACAGGGAGGAGGTCCCCTTTGGGATCTGCCCTTCCATTCCTATAGGCCCAGCTCTTTAGTCTGGGCACGCAGGCACCTGGCGTGTAGAGAAATCAGGAAGAACCATTTTCTTGAGCTCAGCCTTGGAGATAGTGATGGTGACCCTTTCCATTCCTCACCCTAGTCCCCTGTAACCATGGAGACACTGTCCTCCCTGTAGAAAGAAGTACGCAAGACCCCTTTGGTTTCCTACCTTTGGCTTCTTCAGTAACTCCTTTTCCAACTCACCAGTCACTTGCCAGTGCTACTTAGCTGATGTTTTCAGAATGAGCTATCAGCAGAGTGGACTTGACCTCAAGGGTACATGGCAAGAGTGATATGGTCCCTGCAATGTACTTGTGGTCTCTGTCTTCTAAGCATCCTGGGGGGTGGTGAAAGGCAGGCCAGCACCTAGGGCTTGGATGAAGGCTCCCCTCACCCACACTCTGACCCCGGCGGTTATCCCCTGGCAGTGCCCCATGACATTTGTGTGGGCCTGGGTACTGCTGGGACAGTTTCTGTATTTAGAATGGTCTCTCCAGCTCTTACTGGCCAGGGGAGAGTTTTATGATTTCTTTCTCTCCTCAGGCAGGGCTGGAAAACTGCCCTCAAACCTAGCCCTGCGCCTTGTTTCATTGGGCCCAAGCTAAAAATGTTTTTTACTTCTCCAAAGGGTAATAAATTTTATTTTCAAAGATGATAAGTATGGAATGGAGGAAAAAGATGGCCTACAAAAGCCTAAAGTATTTACTGTTTGGCCACATGTTTTCTATCCCTGCCTATAACAACAGCACTCCCAGATGTCCTAATAGAGAAGAACCCTTCTTCTCCATACCATTAACAGACAGGCAGGCATGCATCAGCAGATCCACAGGCAGCGCACCCTGCAGTTTGGCCAGTGAATCACAGCAGCATCCTTGCCCCACATTTCTTATGGGATTGACATGATTTCTAGTACTTTCTCTTTGTAATCAAAGCTCTGACTTGGGTAGTTAGAAACTCAAAGTCCTTCTCAGGCAAAGCAGAGGACAGCAGCGTGGAGGGTGCAGACCCAAGAGAAGCACAAGTGGGGCACCAACTGCCACGGCTGCAGCCAAGCCCTGCCGTCTAAGGAGCTTGGACAAAGACATGGAATTGGCTAAACAGGCCCTGCTTGTGGGTCAGGCTCGCCGGCTGGGCTGTGGCTTGACTCAAACCTGGCTTGCGGAGTCAGGGCCAGACTGCGGCCACGTAAGGGACTAGGGTTGGTGGTCGCTGTGGATTTCCAGGTCCAGGCCTGTGTTACCGAGGTAGCACTTCTGGGAAAGGAGCACAGGCCTGAAGAGCCCTTGGCTAAGCCTGAGATGCAGGCAGCCATGACACACACGCTCCGGAGCAGCTGCCTGGCTCTATATCTCGTCTTCATCCCGAGGGGGCTTAAATTAAAATTAGTGGGAAATGCCACCACGCTTTTGTACATCAGAAAGCTGTGCTGAGGTTTAAATTAGGTAGCGCGCATCAAGTTCTTGGTACGGTGCCCGACACGTCGTACACAGCTAATACTAGAGGCTACTATTTGTGTTAGACTTATTTACTGCACGAACATGAAGGATCTGGAATCACCCCCCACACCTAAATCCATTAGTCAGGTGGCTCTTTACTATGTCTTACTGTACCTCAGACTGCACAAGATAATTTATCTATAACCTCAGACATTGTTATAAAGACAGCTCAGGAAAGATAACATGACACCTGTTTTACAAACAGAGAACGTGAATGGGTGAAGGACTCTGGCTAAGGTCACAGCCCGGGAAGTGGTGCGTCATTTCAAGGGACGGCATTCTCTACCAGCAACCACCTATCTAGTTGTGGATTGTCCAGTGAGGACATGGAAGGCAATGTCACAAGCAGGATGTTTTGGGATTTTTTTCCCCCAGTGACTTAAAAATGTCTCTAAGAGTTCTGAATCTTTCTATCTTGGCTATCATCCTTAGTGTCATCTTTTCATTTACTGCTTCATAGTGATAAAATAGCTGCCATCATTCCAGACATCATATCTGCAACTCAAAGTCCTGAAACAGATGGAAGATTGCAGCAAAGGATTCACTTCAAATATAACTTCTGGATTTTTGATTCCCTATTTCTGGGGACAGAAATTTCTCAGGTCATATCCAAGTCACATCTTTACTCCTAGGTTAATTACTGGTGAAGTAAATGTGATGACTGGTTCAGGCCAGTGACCACCGAGTAGTCTGGAGATGATAGCTAGCAGCCTTGCCCATCATCAAAAGCAGAAGGGTAGAAGAATGAGAGCTGGCTCTTAGGATGGTAAGGATCAGGACTTGACTGCTGACCCTGGCTTCAGAACCGTTCTAACTCTAAAGCAGTATGTGCTCTTATGTACAAGAGAAAAATCACACCTACATTAAAATGATGAGATTGTATACTGGCAACTTTGTAAAACAACCTTATGTGAATGACAGCAACACCCTCTCTAGGAACTTTCTGAGTGTTCAGAGGTGTCAACTCATAAATTTTAGGCCACAAGTCTATTCTCCAACACACAAGTGTTTCACTAAGCAAAATAAACTGGGCTTCTAGTGACTTCCATTGGCTCTGAAGTCCAGCCAAGAAACTGGCTTTCAGTAGTCAAGGGAAATCCGGTGTGGAGACCAGGACAATCTGGACTAAGGAAGGATCTGATTTGCATGTGCAGACAGAAGAATCCAATCTTTCCTTGGATTTCCTTCCAGGCTCCAGCCTTGGAAAAAGTCATTCCCTATTTACAAGACACGACTGGATCTGCACAATTTAGTTTTTGGCTGGATGGCTATAATGAAAATCAGATTGGTGCTACACATTGTTATTTGGTGCTATAATTTGGAAGGAAATCCGTGGCTTAACCTCATGAGGGGATGTGGTGCACGCTGTGTGCAGAAGGGTGGACGACTAACACAGACAATACATATCTCAGGAAAGGCTTTTACTCATTTTGCGAGTTTCACCCCATACTCCTGCTTGAATGTGTTTTGTACAGTTTTTACTTGGGCTGTGAAGCTTGAAAACTAATTGAGAGCAAAATAAATATCCTCTATTTAAACTTTACCCCCTCCCCTCAAATAATAGTGGTGACATTTAAGGTTTTTTTTTTTTTTTTAAATAATATGATTATTTGATTATACCCAGGCTTCCATATCTTCTTTGCCCTCCAGTAACGATTCTCACCCATCGGCTAACAGAATGCACAGCTTGCTCCGGGGGCATAGCACCCCTCATTTTAAGGCTGTGTGATTTGGGTGAAGCTGACTGAAAAGATCTGAGCCAGCTGACATGATTTAGCTCCCTGGGCGTGCTGGTCTGGGACTGGGGTGTGTCCTCTTCCCCATTACTGCCCCTGCCCGTCTGGACTCCCAGCCGTGTGACAGGCTGTCCCTGCAGCGTGAGCTGCTCGGGTGAAGACCACATCTGAGCAGGAGGTTAGGAGCTAACGAGCACGCAGCCCATGGCGCTGGTTTCTCTCTGCCACTGGAGATGCTAGTCCTTGTTAAGACTTGCTTCTCAAATCCAGGTTTCAGCTAAAAGGGGCCACGTGATGCAGTTATAGCTAACTTGTGGCTGACTTGTGGAGAGAGAGAGACAGTGAGAGGGAGAGACAGAGAGAGAGAGAGAGAGAGACAGAGACAGAAACAGAGAGACAGAGAGACAGAGACAGAGAGACAGAAACAGAGACAGAGACAGAGAGACAGAGAGAGACAGAGAAAGAGACAGAGACAGAAACAGAGACAGAGAGAGACAGAGAGAGAGAAAGAATCTTTGGTGCCTCAAGGCGCTGACACTGGGGGCCTTGTTGTCACTGCAGCACACCGTGGTACAAGCTGACTAAAAGAGCGGTGACCAGATTTGAGTCAACAAAGGAGAACAAATTCCAAGGCAAGTAAAAGTAATAGTCGCAGCAGACAAACTGCTCCTTTTCTCCGGACTGGGTAATGTTGGGAGCTGAAGGCATGGCCCAGCCAGGAAGGCGGGACTGAGGGAAAGTATGAATCAAGTCCTGTTTGAAACCAGTTTTATTTTCTGGGGAGTAGAGCCCATACATTCCTTTTGCTTTTCTGTCCAGGTTGAGCTGCGCTTTCTTTCCCTTAGGGCTGAAAGGTCACTTACTGCGTGAGGGAAGCCACAAAAGTCCTCACCTCCCCAATTTCATAGGTCATTGGAAAATGTCTACATTAGTTAGCTCGTAACTCAATCAGCTAATGGCCCAAATGTATTCAGACTACAAATGAAAGCTTCAATAACTGGTATAGTCAAGTTAGATAGATGTTGTATCTGGTAGGATCAGGAAAGCAATAAATTTATTCTTGGAAAAGCAATAAATTTTATTGGGTTGTAAAACCTTTTTTTCCCTCTTTTTTCATGCAAACTGGGAAATGTTGAAGGCATCCTGACCTTCATTTGTGAATTATAAGTGGGGCTTACACTGATTAGCAGATTGATTTTGGAAACTTGTAGGTAGAGAAGTTAAAAAAAAAATGACCCCAAACCTTAACCATATTCTAGCCAGAAATCAGTAAGCGGTTAATCAGGAAAGCAATCTGGTTAAGCGTAGAACATGTCTGATTGTGAAGGTGTTCAGCGTGACAGCATGTTGTTCTGGTCATTAGGGGAGGAGGTTTGCTAACTGTTTTACACCTTCCTTCCCTTTACGTGGACAGCGAGCAGGCTGGGAAACCTGAAGTTCTACTATGCAATCTGATTGAGAAGGCCAGCAAGCACTCCCTCAGGAAGCTGCCTCCCATGTGCCAGCCAGTGAGGCTGGGCAGCCGCCTTCCGCTGCAGAAGGTCCTGCTGGCCATAGGGCCTTGGTGACAGGCACCAGGCTCCACCGTCCTCCTGACAGAGCAGCTCTAGCTGGTGGGTGATGGGATGGGAGTCACTGTGCTCTAATAAGACTTTGCAGACGTGGAAATTTGAATTGTATGTAATTTTCACAACCTAAAATGTTATTCTGCCCAACCATTCAAAAATATAAAAACCAGGCCAGCAGATAGCTCAGTGGACTAAAGCGCCTGCTTAGACAGGTACAGGGACTGGGGTTGGATCCCTGGTACCACATGCCTTGCCTGGAAGCCCTGCCCCTGCGACCTGCTGAGGCAATGACTGAGACGGCGTGGTGGTGCATGCCTGTAATCCTGGTGCTTGGGAGGCTGAAAACAGGAGGATCACTACACTACAAAGTCTGATCTGTGTAGTGAGACCCTGTAGACCCTGTACTAAATACATAAAATATAAGGGCCAGGCAAATAGCTCAGTGGATTAAAGTGCCTGCAAGCAGGTGCAGGGGCTAGGGGTTCAATCCCCGGGCCTGTCATTCCAGAGCAATTGAGACTGGGTGTGGTGACACACACCTGTAATCCTAGCACTTGGGAGGCTGTAAACAGGTGGATCACTACAAATCTGATCTAGTAGTAAGACTCTGAACACCCTGTAGACCCTTCTCTAAAACTAAAAAAAAAAAAAAAAAAAGAAGGAAAATAAACCATAAAAAAACCCCTAAAAACATAAAAACCAATCTTAACTCCACAAGCCGTATAAATGCAGGACATGGGCTGGAGCTGGTCTGCGAGCTGTCGCCTGCTGACTCCCGGCTTCCTGAGTTTTCCCTATAATCCAGACTCAGAAGTACCATAGATGAATCACATTCATTACCTCACCCAACTCTACCAAGAACTACCAGGTTCCACTGTAGGCTCCACTGTCCTCTCCACTTCATAGGCGGGCAAACTGAGTGGGGCCACAACCTGGGGATGACGAGGCCAACATCCTGACTGTTGGGCCTCGTTCTGTCCCAGCGTGGGAGATTAAAAGATGAAATATTGAAACTTAAAAATAAAAATGTAATTTGTGGGGCTAAGCAATTTATTTTATTTTATTTTTTTTAATAAATTGGGTAATCCATACTTTTTTTTTATATTTATTTATTACATTTATTTATTGTGTGTGTGTGGCCAGCTCAGCCCACCAGGGGGTGGGGCTGGCTGGCATGTGGTGCTGGGGATCGAACCATGGTCCCTGTGCTTTGCCAAGCTTGTTTCAAGTAGGTGCTTTAGACCACTGAGCCATCTCTCCAGCCCCAGGGGCTAAGCAATTTAAAGGAATGTTTTTTTTTTTTTTTTTTGGTAAACATCTTTAAAAATTTTTTTTTTATTGAGAAATAAATATGAATGAGACAGTTTCACAACTGATTAATAGGACAGTTTTGATAATCAATACATTGTACACTGTTATCTTCCTAGTTGTTATCCATAGTATAAGAAGCAGACAGGATATTCTGTCCAAACACTGTTAGTACACCTCTTTCTTCTCATTGAACTAAGTGAAAATAGCTGTAAATTTATCCTATTTTGAATGTATGGGCTCTACTCCCCAGAAAATAAAACTGGTTTCAAACAGGACTTGATTCATACTTTCCTCCACGCAGGTCCCCAAAGGGCTTCAGACTTTCACTCTCTAGAGCAGCGATGGTGAAACCTAAGAGACCGAGTGCCCAGACTGAAACCGCAAACCACTGTGAAGTGCCAACTCTGCAATTAAACCAGAATACTGAGATTTTAATTTAGAAAAAACCCTCAGGGCTGGGGAGGTAGCTTGGTGGTCTAAGTGTCTGCCTGGCAAGTGCAAGGACCTGAGTTTGATCCCTGGTACCACACGCCATGCGTGGTAGTGCATGCCTGTAATCCCAGCGCTGGGTAGGCTGAGACAGGAGGATCACTGTGAGTCTGAATTGCACAGCAAGACCCTGTATCAAAAAACTAAAAAAGGGGTCAGTGAAATAACTCAGTGGACTAAAGTACCTGCTTAGGCAAGCGCAGGGATCATGGTTTGATCCCTGGCAGCACATGCTGTGCCAGTCCTGCCCCTGATCACACTGAGCTGGCCACAGATTGTGGGTTTAGTGGCACATGACTGTAATCCCAGACCTGGGGAGGCTGAAAACAGGAGGATCACTATGAGTCCAAGCTTCAGAGTGAGACCCTGTAACAACCAAGACATTAAAAAAAAAAAAAATAAGGGACCAGGGAGATGGTTCAGTGGAATAAACACTTCCCTGGCAAGCACGAGAACCTGAGTTCAATCCTTGGTTCTGCCAAAAAAATAAAAAAATAAAAAAGAAGAAACTCATACACTAACATCTTTTCTTTAAAAAAATAATACATGTGCCACAGTTCATTACCACTTGTCTCAGGACATAATTACGAAGGTCCCACACTTTGTTGAGCTACTATGTTTGGTTCAAGAAAGAAAAGGAGAAAAGAATAGAGGGAAGGAATGGTAAGCAACAAAAGTAAAGATGAAAGAGAACTGTAACAAAACCATTCTTATTTCATTCCATATCACAGATAATGGACACTGGGGAGTTAGCTCAGCAGCAAGAGAGCCTGCCTGAGTAAGCACAAGGTCCTGAGTTCGATCCCTGGCACCACAAAACAAACAAGTATATCATGGATAACATTTCTGGAATGTGCTTGAGTTTTCAACATCCGTTCAGTGCCAATAACTAAGTAGAAATGAAAAACGCACACCCTGGCCGTGCAAGGAAACAGGAGACACCAGACAGTTGCAACCACGTTTTGCTTGGGCAAAGTGATCACGCTCCATGTTGGTCTGGAGACACTGTGAATTCACTGATCCGCATTTACCAAATGTTCCCAACGCTGCTCTTCCTTCTCGGCTGGGACCTGCTGTTTTTCTGGGCCTGAAATGCCTAAGGTCCATTCATTAATAATCTCTCTGGAAAGTGTTTCTAAGAAAAGACACATGATGGGAGTGCCTTGAAGGCACAGCCTTGACAGTTTGGGCCGGATTTCCAGAAGATGAAAGACGCCCAGTGTCTGGTCTTTAATCAGAACCAGAGAGGTGAAGCTAACCATGGAGTCAGCTCTCGGGCTGCGCACACAGTCTCAGCCCCTTCTGCTGCAGGTTGCTCAGAGGCAGCTTCCCACCCTGAGCACCACCGGAAGTTAGTAGGAACCCAGGTCACCAGGGAAATAAAGGGGAAGGAGAAATCGCCGCCGCCGCCGCCCGAGGGAGCAACATCAATTTCACTTTAGGAAGCCCAAAGTCATCCCTCCGTGCGGTCGACTCTTTCAGCCCCTAATGATAACGGACGATTAAGATGTGTGCTCTGATTTTGCATGTAATTTGCATTAACTCAATGCGAGTTACAAAATTTCATTCAGTGTCATCCTCGGTTGGTTGCTAGTCTAGGAAAGGGTGAAAGAGTCCACGGCAGATTAAGGACACCCAGAACATGCAAGAATGAAGGCTTTTGGCGGTGAAATGGCGATGACCCAACACACCAGAGATGAGAATGGAATGATTCTGCCCATGCATGTGTCACTTACGTTGTCCTCGGCACCTGTGGGGACTGATTCCTCTTTGACTGACTAAAGGAAGATAAAAACAAAAGCGAGAGTCAAGACGTAACCAAAATCAAAGCCGAAACAAACAAATAAAAACCAACTCAATGAAGATATTGAAGCAAAAGGGCTAGGGAGATAGCTCAGTGGCATAAGTACCTGCCTGGCAAGTGCAAGGTTTCAAGTTCAAGCCATACCAAAAAAAAAAAAAAAAAAAAAAAAAGACACAGACCCAAAGGATTTTTCTGGACAGCAGCCCGGTATACAGTTCTGGAATGCTGAATTGCTTATACATGGACCTTGTTCCAAAGAGGCATCTACAACTGCAAGCAGTATCACACGGTAATGTGAGTCATGTATTTTCAAAGCAACAAAGGGAAAATAAACACAGATGTAGCCAAGACACAAATGGAGCATGGAGCTGCTACCAAAATAACGAACCAGGAAGCCTCAGCTGTGGTTAAGCACCGCCTCTCCTTTTACACTTTCCAGCAGTGGATGAAAGAGGGAAGTGTTACGAACCGTGCCTTGCACAGATGAATGACCAGCTCAGGAGCGCTCTGAATTCCTCCCTGGCCCCTAAGGGCCATGTAGGCACTGCCCTGTCCTAGGTAGTGTCCCCCCAACTGCATCAGAGTCTGCCTCGTATACCAGCCCTCAGGCTAGACCATTTTCATTGTGCTCGAGTTCAGAGCAGCTCAGTCACTCTAGGAAGGGCCGGGAGGCTGGGGTCTGATGTGCCCATCCCAGTCACTGTTTTACTCCCTCAAATCATTCTGGAATGGCCAAGAGATGACCGAGCCCATCTACAGATGTCAATCCTGAGGTGACGTCATCTGCCGGCTCTAACTTGGGAGGTCACCTTTGTGTGTTTCCTTCTGTGGTTCTTAAGCTCTTCAGCGAGTGGTGTTGGTAGTTACAGATGATTTGACACACATTTAATAGATCTCAGCTCTTCTCCCATGAACAGAATACTGTACAAACGGCTTCAGCATGCGCACAGATGTTCTGTGTCTCATCTTAGACTCTGGGTGAAGAACTCTTTCCTGTATGCACTCCCACACCATACCTGCCTGTGCCACACCATTGGGAGGGGAAGAAGCAAAGTGGCATTTATAAATGTAGATTCTGTACTAGGTGCTTGGTATTCAGCCTCTTCCCTAAAGCTCACCCAAGCAGCAAGTACTCTGAGCTTCACGTACACAGCAGGGGACAGAGTAAAGCCCCGGATGAAGTTTAAACAGCTGGCTGGGGAAGAAGTGGCTATAGGAGTGGAGGTTCTCTCCTGCTGACATGACTTAGAGATCGAAATATGTATTCTGGTGGCCACGTGAGTGGCTTTTTCCACTACGAGACGCACTGCCTCTCTAGGTGAGATCTTCAGCTTGGACAGCGTACTCCCTGTGCTTTCTTCCCATCCTGGCATTGTCCTGAGTATGAGAAAGTCCCTGGAAAGCACTGTGGCATTTCTGGAAGCTTCAGATTGTCCCAAAATGGTAGCGTGTCCAGGAATTTTCAGGTAGACCCGCTTTGTTGGAACAATCTCTCTTGTCTCTGAGATAGTAAATGCTGTTTAACGCTATACACAGGAAAGTGATTAAATGATATTTATTTTATTTACTTAATTTTATTGTTCGGTACTGGGGATCGAATCCAGGACTTTCCCATTTAGTCTTTTTTTCTTTTTTGAGACAGTCTTGCTATGTCCTTCGGGCTGGCCTTGAGCTCATTAGAGAGCCCAGTTTGACCTTGAACTCCAGGTGATCTTCCCATCTCAGGCTCCTCAGTGCTGCGGGTGCATCACTATGTCCAGCAAAAATGTTTTATTTTGGGAATGAGTCCAGTTGAGGACATCTCAAACATCAATAATTTTCATAGCATCCCCAATTATTGGCATATTCATGTACCACCTTAATTTCCTTGATATTTTTCTTTAGGTTGACTGAATTCTTACCTAATATATATTTCAGAACAAAATCTCTTTTTTAAAATATCTTTTGAAGTGGCAGCCATCTCCCACTTGGCACCATGGCGGCCCTCAGACCCCTCATGAAGCCCAAGATCATCTGAAGGAGGACCAAGAAGTTCATCCAGCAGCAGTCAGAACGATGTGTCAAAATTAAGCACGACTGGCAGAAACCCAGAGGCATCGAGAGCAGGGTGCAGAGGAGGTTCAAGGGCCAGATCTCGATGCCCAGCATGGGTCATGGAAGTAACAGAGAGACCAGGCACAAGCTGCCCAGCGGCTTCCGGAACTTCCTGGTGTACAGCGTTAAGGAGCTGGAAGTGCTGCTGATGCGCGACGTGTCTTACTGCGCACATTGCTCACTATGTCTCCTTTTAAAACCACGAGGCCATCATGGAAAGAGCAGCCCAGCTAGCCATCCGGGTCATCCAACCCAATACCAGGCTGCGCAGTGAAGAAAACGAATAGACGGTCTGCGTGCATGTTTATTTGTGCTTCAGTAAAACCACAAAAATAAAATAATAAAATATCTTTTAATCTATGTATTTGGTACAGGGTCCTGCTACACAGCTCAGACTCATAGTGATCCTGTCTCAGCCTCCCCGGTGCTGGGATTACAGGCGTGTGTCACCATGCCTGGCTTCTAATCCCCGTAAGCTGAAGACTTTTCTAGATTACTTCTACATTGTGTTTGGAAGGTCTGTGAATTATGAGCATGGTACGGACAGCGAACTTGGGTAGGAACATCACAGGCAGTCAGGCAGGGGTGGGCCCTCTAGAGAGTCAAGATAAAAGGTGGATGCACTCAATGACTGTGACAAGACAGTGTCCGTGGCAGGCCAGGCCTCAAGGTAACAACAAAAGGACCAGGCCTGCCTCTCCCCGAGGGAGCCCAGCCCAATGCAGTCTAGGTGGGCGTCAGCGTCCCTAGTGGGCAGCCAAGACCCCTGGACCCTTCATCCGCCTGAGACTCTTTGCTCCTTCCATGTGCACTTGCTCCGTGACTTGCTTCCCGACTGGATCGATGTTACCTAAGCAGCTATACCTGCAATTGTATTGGTTGATCACAGCTGCGACCCATGTTGCACTCATGTGGTTGTGCCGTGTAAAACTTCCCTTGAGAAGTGGGGTCCTGGGCAACCCACTTTCTGGGTATCCCCTTCCATCCCTCTCAGACAGGAACTTTCTATCCCTCAGTAAATATGTCCTACTCTTAACTTCTGTTGTTTGTAGAATTCACTCTGTTTCAGAGAACACGAACTCGGTGTATCAGACATCTAACATGTTGGGAGTTATAATATCGTATCATATTTAGAGGTCATGATATAATCCATATATCAAGTAGATAGTGTGTGTGTGTGTGTGTGTGTGTGTGTGTGTGTGTGTGTCTGTCTGTCCAGTTCAGCCTGGCCTTGAGTCACTCTGTAGCGCAGGTTGGTCTTGAACTCACAGTGCTCCTCCTGCCTTCGCCTCCTAAGGGCTGGATTGCAGGCGAGTGCCACCTCCCCAAGCAGACAATTTTAACACCGCTGCAGATTATTTTAGGTTACCAAGCTGTGATGCGCGAGGAGATAATGTGAGTTGCAGGGCAAATCTCAGCGTCTCATTGTCCATAGGACAGTAACACACTGGCCCCTGGAAACAAGAACTCGAGGTCATGCTAACCTCAGCCCTCAGAGCCTGTAATTTGAGGTCTTTACTGTGTACATTTCGGCCTGGGTTAATGAGTCCACCCAGCTTGTAAACTTTTTAGGGCATTGTCTAAGTTGCTGATAAAAACCGCAGAATCGGGCCCAGGCCCAGATTCCGGAGCCTTCCACGCAATGTTTGCCTCCTTAATCAGCCTTCCTAGGTGGCTCGCAACCCTGCATTGTCTTAGCACCTGCAGAGAGCTGGAAAAACAAATAGTACCGCTGCCAACTCAGATAACAGTGAGGACTCCCTGCCAGGGGGCGCCTTGTCAGTCTGTGGCGTAAGGGCTCCTCACCGGGGTTCCAAGCCACAGCCTGGAAGGCACGCAGGCGGGGCTCCATTTGCAGGCCTCGGCTAGGATATCTGAGTCACGCTCCAGTCGAGGTTTCAGGAAGGGCTGCGCGCCCCCTACGGGCAGATGGCTGCACTGTAGCATCCGCACAGGGCTGGCTCCTGGCCAAGCCTACATCTCCGTTAGTCTGTATTTATTCCCTGCGAGGTTCCCTCCGTCAGCACACAATGACAAAGCCAAGCCTCAGGCTACTTCCTTTTCCTTATCCCGCGTCCTATTTGGAGAAAGCCCAAGGAGAGCAGAACCGGGAAAACCAGATTCCAATCCATCCTTTTGCACCGCCAAAGAATATCGGAGGGGCAGCCGAGAACCTGAGGCCAGGGGGTGGCTCGAATGCAAGCGAGCACAGGGAGTGCCCGGAAAGGAGCTCAGCGCACCTCAGGGTGTTCCCGAGGCCCTTGACCCTGCAGGAGGGCGCAGCCACTTCCCGTCTTCTCCAAGGGATGGGGTAGCAGGGGAATCTAAGACAGTCTGGGCCCTTTGACAACAGTAAGATTTCCAGTTTAAAAATCTTCAGGATTTTAGACATGAAGCCTGTTAAGAAAAAAGAAGGCCCTAAACAACGTCTGACACCACCATGGACTTGCCGAATAAGAGCTTCTGTGCAGTAGAGTGAGATCAATTCGTAAAAGGTCCTTGGAGGTGCATTTACACGGTCAAGCCACCAGGCATGCCAAGGGTGGCAGGTGTCCCAGGTCTCCTTCCCATCTCCTGGCAGCTGATCGGAGCTCCCTGACTTCACAGGGCTCTAGCACCTTTTCTACGAATCAGAGAATTGTATGCTCCTTCTTTTCCTCTCCTCCGCCTCCTCCTCCTCTGCCTCTGCCTCCATCCTCCAGTACTGGGAATTGAACCTAAGCTACATCCAATTTTTTTTTTTTTTTAATTTTGATACAGGGTCTCACTTAGATACTAAATTGCCTGAGCTGAGCTTGACCTTGAGCTCCTCCTGCCTCAACCTCTCAGAGGGCTGGGATTACAAGGGTATGCTACCAGACTGGGCTTGAATCCAAGGAC